TGCTCTTCTGCATGCCTTGGTTGTAACGAGTGGTTATTTGAGTTACTGTTGCCTTTCTATCAGCTCGAACCAGTCTGGCCATTCTCCTCTGACCTCTGGCATCAGCAAGGCATTTACACCCACAGAACTGCCGCTCACTGGATATTTTTTCTTTTTCGGACCATTCTCTGTAAACCCTGGAGATGGTAGAGTGTGAAAATCCCAGTAGATCAGCATATTAGAAATTTGCGTTAATGAGCAGTTGGACAGGTGTACCTAATAAAGTGGCACGTGAGTGTATGTGTCCAAAGCTTGTAGATACATACCCCACAAGACTTATAAAGTTATAAAGTATTGACTGATCGATCAAAATCTTTGTTTGCAAATAATTTTCAAAATCAATCGGTCAATTTCTGCTGGTCCATTACATACTTGTAATGGACCGTTACATACCTGTAATGGACCAGCACAAAGCAGTTGCGTATTGTGACAAAATGTAAAAAAAGTTCGAAGGGTATGCATACTTTTGTAAATCACTTCAAAGATAATGTTAGAAATTCTGTTAATAATGTCTTGCTTCTGAGTAAGTTAGGCAGAAAGCAAGATTCAGTTAGCTTGTTTTTGTTTGCTTGGCTAATGTATTAATTTATTCATGAGCTATCAAAACATGTGTTCCCTAAAAAGTGACAATGCATTTAATCCGTTGTGTGTACCTGTTTTTGTCTTCTTGCTGTCTTGAAGAACTGGTGGCCATTTCCAGAGACTGCTTGGCAAGGGGTCGCCAGTTCATCAGAGATCCAATACATATGATAAATAGGAAAAAACATGCATACAGTCAACGTTAATTTAAAATCTTCAATTCATCCATGCTGCTTGCTCTGAGAGGAAACCAAGGTACCCAGGGGAATCCTTATCATTGATAGGAAAACATAAAACCTCTAAACAAAAAGGATCAGATTGGGATTTGAACCAAGAACCTTCCTATGATGAGGCTAAATGCTAACAACTGCAGCACAGTGCAACATAAACATAGACCTATGGAACTACTTTTGCTATGATCCTGGTATGCAGTCTGGGCATTTGGAACTAAAACTAAAATACAGTTACAAGTGTTTGTTTAAAGTTGCAATAATGAGAGTTTGCTTTCTGAGCAGCTAACTGAGATAGAAAAGAATGTTGTCAGATATCGAGACAAATGCATGTCCTGAAAAGCAGCTGCACCCTAAGGCCTCAGCTGACCCTCCACAAATGCTCTAATTGTATGTTAATTAAGATAGTTTAGTTGCCTGAAAGAATGAATATTGTAGTGAAAGTTCAGGGTAGCACCAGGAAAGAAGAGCTGTAGTCTGGGGTATCATGGGGAAGGATTTTATCTATAGTTCCATTCATGGAGAAATATTTTTTTCCATTTGGCAGAGGACTGTTTCCTAAGTGAGCTCAGAAGATAAGAGAGATGACTAAGGGCAGGAAACAAGCTAATGGGGGGGGGGGGAGATTTCCCAAGGCCAACCAAACCACTAGCAGCTGGCCATCTGCAAAAACACTACAAAGGAGGAAAAAATGATTTTCCCAACATGTTTAAGTTATCATTAGAATAAAATTCTTTCTTCTAGCTTTTTAATTGTTCTGGTTTATAGAATTACAACATTGCGGCACTGTTTGTCACACTGTTTCTGTCATGGTTAATAATGAAATAAAATAAATAACTTCTTCTTATAAATCGTATAACAAATAAATAACCAATGTTTAGACTGCAAATATCCTTAAGATAAACAAAGTATAATATCACCGTAGACTCAAACTAATTTAAAATAAAAAGAAACAACAATCTTTTAAAACATAGTTGGGCTGCACCGTGGTGCAGTTGGTAGCATTGTTGCTTGCAACAAGAAGGTCCTGGGTTCAATTCCTGGCAGGGGGTCTTTCTGCATGGAGTTTTCATGTTCTCTCCATGCATGGGTTCTCTCCAGATACTCAGTCCGGTTGGACTCCCTCCCACAGTCCAAAAACATGACAGGTTAATTGGTCTCTCTCAATTTCCCTTAGGTGTGAATGGCTGTGTGCATGGTTGTTTGTCCTGTGTATCCAATTAGAATTTAAACATTGATTAGAGTGTAGATTAGGATGAAAAAAATCTTGTAAGTAAGACATAAACATACATTCACACACATACACACACAGTTTCATGGCCCTATTCAAAGCCACCACCAGAAAGCTTGTGGTCCGCGAGAGAAAAAATGTCCATAAACACAACTGTGGGTATGCCTTGGCTTGAACACGTACGTAACTGTCTCAGTCTTCGCTTGGTGTGTAAATCTTTTCTGCCTGGTGTTCTTTGAATTTGTGCATAGCCTTAAGCACCATTTGTGTGCCAGCAAACTTTTTTCCCTCTCCAACAACGTTGCAGTGCACAATTGTTTCAGTGTTCCCCCCTTCTGCTGAAGGTCTCCAGCCAACACAGGAATGGAATATAGTCATACACCAGACAGAATGAGGGCCATGGCTGTTTCCTCTGGCGCTGAACCGTGCATAAGGATTGATCATCAAGGCGCTGAGAAAATTTCTGTACTGAATCATGTTTCATACAAGCTCACCGCTGCAGACCTGTCCTTCTGTTTTCACTTAAATCTGCTCTTGCCTATGATCTTTCACCTCATCCCTGTCTGTTGTTTACTTCCTCTTTAATCCTGACTCGATGCATTTGAATTGTTCTGATTCATAATAAGAATTGAAAGTGAAATTGAATCAGCGGTTCATCTTTTCTGTGACCGCAGTTAATTTTGTGGGAAAATCAAACCACAGTAAAGTCCATTTATGAAAAATAAATGTTAGGGTAGGCATACTCCTTGTTTTGATTTGACTAGTTAATATTGGGTCCATAATATTTTTCTTTTTTTCTATTTTTTTACACATCCTGTCATAGCATTTTAGGCATACCATACAGAGGAGCTGGTTGCCTACCTGTGCCAGGGTAGTTAATAAATCCAGACTCAATCCAGAATCAAAATAGGTAGGCCACATTCATGTAATAGCAACCTGTGTTTGTATGACTTTTAACCATTTTGATTATTTGTGTGTATGTGTGTGTGTGTGTGTGTGTGTGTGGGTGAGCGTATGTGTAGAAATAAGTGTGTTTGTGTTGAGTGAGTGTGTGTCAGCATGCTTGTCACCTGATGGTGCAGAGTGGCAAGCATGGTAGAATGACTGCAACACACAGCGTCCGAAAGCAGCAAAGCACAGGTGGACCCAGTTCTGGAAGACCGTAGCAGCCCCAGGCAGACAGACACAAGGCATCACCCCAGGGCACCAAAACAGAGGTGGGTTGTCAGTAAAGCACAGGAGCAGCACCCTCCAGGCCAAAGAGGCACAAGGTGAGACATAGAACCAGATCCTCCCAGACCAAGCCACAATGCCATCTGTGCAGGCCAAGCTTCCCCCCAGTGGCCTAGTGCATGCACCCATCCTCGGCAGCAAGACCGCCCAGCACCAAGCAGGGGAGACCCCTCCAGAACCCTGAACACACCTGGCAGGCATCAGCTCACATCAGCTGGAACTCGGAAGGACCAAGGTGGGGAGGGCACATTACTAAACCACCTAGTGAACTAGCACCAGGTAAAGAGGGCGGGGGGGCCCACCAGAGCCCAGCGTAATGTCCACACATGGCCCGACACATCCCTTGGAGCCATAGGCCACCAGACAGGAGCCCACCACTCCAGGACATGGTGCAAGCACCCAGACAAACAACACTACACCAAGGGAGGTAGCCCCTCAGAGACTGCCAGGCCATCCCCACACCTCCAGACCCTGTCGAAATGTTGCGATCAATGCAGATGTGCATACATATAGTGCATTACAATTGGGATTGTGGCTGGGGTGTGCAAGACCCCACTGCTTTCTGACAGCAGCGTCTCCTCCACTGCAAACACATAGCCTTAAGCCTCTTATCCCCGAAGGGGTTTTTTCGTGAAGTTTGGGCTTGAAATAACATGCCCAAATTTAATTACGTTTTTCTCAGGAATTGCAAACTCTAAATAAATAATCTTGGTATCATATTAAAGCTAACACTTAGGAGACTCCATCAGAAGTGTAAATATCACAGTAGCTGCTATTGTTCCAGAGATAATGAGGATGGAACACAGAGATAAATGAGATTTTTTTCTCTCGCCCAGTTTCTTTTTTAATTGCACAGTTTATAAATCTTTTAGAAATATCATGAATAAGGCTACAAACTTTAGAAAACCCAAAATCCACTTGTGGACATTAGCGGTGCAAAGATTCATGCAGCTGAGGTAAACTTAAGCAAACTAAACAACTAAAGCAAAGACACCCAGCCTGTACTAAAAACAAAGCTTTTAGTAAAGACATACCTAGGTGTTTTGCCCATTGGCACAGTATGGCACATGTTGGCACCATTTTACAAAAAAATGTGCTTTTACTTGCAAACTTATTAAACTTTTTTTTTACATGTCTAAAATAGTTTGTTGAAATATATTCCTTTTTTAAAATTACCAATATTGTTTTGCTCCAACAGCATTCACATTCACTGACAAGGCAGCTTTACGCAGAGCACGAGTTTGGTCCGAATTGCACAAACAACCCGTCCTTTTAATCCGTAGAGCCAATAGAATCAGATTATACCAAACACATTGATGCCAGTCCCACCAATCACCATCTGTAAGAAGACGAAGACCTGTGACGCAGACTTATCATTTCGTCGAATCACAAGTTCTATGGAACAGGAAGCCGGAAGTGTACTACTTCTGCTTGAAAAGCACACTGGGAGATGTAGTTACCTGATAAAACTGAAAACGAAACAAAGGATTATACATTTAGGAAAGAAAATCACGAAGATAAGAAAGTTTTTAGATTATATTTTCATTCGTGAGTGATAATTCTGGTCTTCTTTTGCTGCTGGTTTGCTTAATCCTGGATGGATTGTGACAAAACATATTTACGGAATCTGTGAGGTCTATGCTGTCTGCAAATGCTTGTGTACAAGCTGCTGGGAGGGCAGCTAAGACCAAATTTTGCGGTGATGGCTTTCTGTGGAGTTTGATTACTTTCTGATTCCTGAGGGCACTGCATTGTCCCCTCAATCCCCATTGTTCCAGACATCAAGACTGTACCGATGTGTGTTGTTGCATATGTTAGGGAGGTGACCAGCTGTGCAATTTGCCCCCTCTGGTGCCAGCAGTTGCAGCATCCTTACCTGTAATATTTTTTAATTCAGTTTCAACTCAGTCCCAGTTAATCGTGCACAAACAAATCTTTCAGAAAAAGTTGTCCTGCTTAACTTAATTTTTTGTTTTGAACACCATTAAATAACAGACAGTCAAAGAGTTGTAGGAACCACTACAGTCTCTCTTTAACAACCAACATTATCCTCTTAAGCCCAACAGGGTTTTGTAAAGTTTGAGCTCAAAATAACATGCGCAAATCTAATAGAATTTTTCTGTGAACTGACATACTCTATCTAAACAATCATTATGTTAATAATTATTTTTTTTCAAATGGGAGTGTAATTCTGGCCTTCCTTTGCTGCTGGTTGAGTAAAACCTGGGTGGATTGCTACAAAATGTATTTTTTGGAATCTGTGGTGAACAGCTCAGTGATCAATACGCCTTCCAGAAACTTGTTGGACAGTCATTAATTCATTTGTGATTTCAGAGAGCGTGAAACGATCCAAATACCACAAAGGTGTAAATTACTGCTTGATAAATGTTCATCAAGGCATTTAAGATGTGACGAGATGTAACGTGTTCTGTAACCTCTATCCCTCCTCTTACCAGTTGACCTCCGCCTTACAATAAATGCAAATTACTGCTACTGTTTAGTTTTGATGTAGTCTCAAATATCGCTTTTAGAAATGATTGGTAAATTCACAAGCACCAGTTTACTTCAAAACTATGGGAAGCCATATCAAATGCCCACAGAATAGGAACATAGGAAATTTTTATATTTATTTTAAGCTGGTGTATTTTTGGTAAAATTTTCATTAAACATTTTGAGATGCTCTTTAATTTGCTTACAAACTATTGCAATCAAATATGCACATTTTATATATTGAAAAGAAAGAAATATTGGTGTAATTTGTTGTAATAACTGATTAAATCATAACAACACTTATTTAGTACTTTAATACAGTTTTCGAATCACATTTACATCAGAGATGACAACAGTGTAACAGCTGGACTGAATCCCTCACTGACTCCCAACATCTTCATTAAAGACTGATGAAGGGGCATCTGCTGTAGCCATGGTGACAGAAAGATTTCCTGAATGCCGACGAGCTTTAGTTTTTTTTTTACCAGTTTGCTGCCCAGGGAAATGACAAGTTACTGAAATCCTCCAAAATTACCCCCTCTTCCTGGTTTATAAAACAGATTTCCACCATACAGTTTAGTTATATATCACATAAACTGTCCAGTTTGATCACGTAGGAAACACAAAATCAATACAGTTGCCCATTTTGGTTCGGAGTTGATGCCTCTAACTAACTGCAGACAGATTTTAGAATGCACCTCTTGTGAAATGAGAATTAACTCAGACCCCTCACAGACCTGCCCTCTCTACATACTGAGGTGATGAGGAATTACATGGAACCTGCGTAAGAGCTTGTTTGTTGCCATCAAGACATCTTTAATGTAGAAGGTTCTCCTGGTATTGTTGGCATCCACCCAGATCCTCCACCCCTCTATGCCACTCTGGATGGAAAAGTAGTAGGCCCGAATGAAGGAAAGGCAAGTGACAAAAAAGACAGGGTCAGTTGATCATAACGGTGTTATCCTTGTGTGATGCAAAGACACTTAAGAAAATATTTAACAGTAATGTGGTTTTAAAGAGGTGGGGAACTTGTCAAAAATATGTTGCCGACTGTGCTTGATCAGTTTTATTTTTTTACATTATATTTTTACTTCAGCGGGTTCATCAC